TGATTATAGAGAATAAAATGAAATAAAATGTCCCTTAATTGTTTAAGAAAACATGTTATGACCACAAAAAATGAACAGAGTTCTGTTCTTTAAAGGAGGCCTTCCGTGGTCAAGTTCAAAGGCAGGTGGAACGTTTATTCCACCCAGGGTGACCACTACAGTTAAAAGACGGTTTATAAGCATTTGGACATAAGGATCTGTGGGGGTTTACAACCATACAATAAATTGGGCCCTTTAGGTAGTGAAAATGTGTTTTAATATATTTTTGGTGCGTGTTGCGTGTAAAAACATTACTTTTTTGTGAGGCCTTTTCATGAGCTCTTTCCGAAAGCCTGAGTGAGTCTTCTGTAAAAGATTGCACTTAAATAGGTGGGGTCGAATTAACAATTTCCGGTGGGGTGCTGGGGCAGTCGGGATTGCCCGTAATACGGAAAAATCCATGAATTGTAATTTGTGATTTCCTGGTGGGGGCTTTCGTATGGTTGAAAAATCCTTATTTAAAGGTGGGATACGACGACATTGGGAATAAATCCAGGATTCAAACTCTTTATCTTTCTATCCTTTTTTGTGTGTATATGAGTGGTGTATGGTTGAGGAAAATTTGGGGCCCGTTAAGTGGGTCGTGGATGCAGTTTTTAGGTAGAGGGGTGACTGTTGAAAGAGCCTTGAAAGACAGACAGCTTACATGACATCTGTGTCAGCACGCTAAGCTGTTAGACAAACACCTTGAAATATAGTTGAATAATAAGAATGTTGTGTCCCTAAAGAGACGGAGAGTACAAAGTAGCTGGAGAGTGGCTGAGGTTGCACGCTTAAGACAAAACATTTCTTGCTGAATAAACCTTATCTACTTATTTACATTGAATGGTCTCAGGAAGGGTTTGAAGACTGACGTAGTAATAACGTAGCATTAACTAAAACTTTCTGGTGGCTTTACTTATTCTTCTTCATGATTTAATGAAAAAACGATAATAATAAAACTTGACCCTATCAATAAATTGTGTTGGTTGGAAAAACAAAAGACAGAGTCGGCAGGGAAAATTGATAATAGTTCTGAGTTAAATCTGGTTGTTAGTTTACATATGAAACTAGTCATTAAACTTTGACTTTGAATTTATTAATTTCTTCAATTGCGATAACATTTTAAAGTCAACAGTATTTGGTGTAAAACAAGTTTGATCAAAAGGGCAAATGTGAACTCTCTCTCTAAGCACCTAGTGTTAACCTAGGTGCTTAGAGAGCACCTAGGTTATTGAACTAGGCTTAATCATGCACCAATCATGCACCTAGGCTTAGAGAGCACCTAGGATTTAAAGCAGGGGTGTCAAACTCCAGTCCTCGAGGGCCGCTATCCTGCATGTTTTCGAGGTTTTCCAGCTCCAACACACCTGATTCAGTGATTGAATTAACTCTTCAAATTGGGCAGAAGCCTGTTAATCACTCAGTGATCAAAATCAGGTGTGTTGGAGCAAGAAAACCTCTAAAACATGCAGGATAGCGGCCCTCGAGGACAGGAGTTTGACACCCCTGATTTAAAGGCTGCTGTAGTGCACACGAGCAGAGGGGGTGAGCTTTTAAAGTTCGTAACATGATCTGTCAGAGCGGTGTAAAATATCGCTTTGTGGTATAGCTGGATACACATTAACATTGAAGGCTGATTATCTAAATTGGATGGAGGAGTGAATAGAATGGAAGCTGGTTTAGATCCGGCGTGCACGGTACGGTGCGCAGCGACTGTGTCTTCTGAATAAATGAAAATGATTTAACACAGTTGTTTATACTTTTAGCAGCTCTTTTTATTCCACAGCTGACCTGCTAAAAATGACAG